CCCCTGGCCCCGCACCCCCGCTCCTGCTCCGAACCATCCCCGGCCCCGCACCCCGCTCGGCCCCGCCCCCGGCCCCGCGCCCAGGGCCACCCCGGGCTCACCAGGGGAGGGTGTAGCCACGGGGGCGGGTCCGAAATGGGGCCAAAACTGCTTTTTTGCAGTTAGGCCCAGAGGGTGCAGGCTTCCACTGCGCACCCCCCTGTAATTTTTTTTATTATTATTTTTTTTTTTTTGGCCCCTCCCGGGCCGGGGTCAGGGGACCACCACATCGGACCCCCGGGGCCGGGGCTGTGACAACCCTGACCGTGGATGCCATCTTCATCACCTTGGTGGGGGCTGCATCTGGAAGGCCCCATTGGCGTAGAGCTACATCAAGAAGCTTTGAGGCAGAGTCAGCATGGCGGCCTAAGCAGGAGCAGCCATAGTGTCCTTTTTTGCACAGCAGGGCAAGGCCCTAGTAGTCCGCCATATCCTTGGCCTTCACGCAGAGGAAGGAGGAGGTGTCCATGGCTATGGTGGACCTCATGTTATGTCAAGCAGTAGAAGAGGGATTCGGACATTGATTCTGGTTCAGCCATTCAACATTATTATTATTATTATTTATTGTGAAATAAGAGGGGAGGAGATAAGGAGGAGGAGAGTGGTTAGCTAGAAGAAGGGAATTATCACTGGTCTTTGCTGGTGTACATCTTCTTCTTCTTCCTTCCCTCTCTTTCCTCTCAAGTTCATTCATTTCTTTTGCAATTGGACAGCATTGTGCTCTCTCATGAATTTTGCACTTCGAAATTGGCCAGGATCATAACAATGTTGTATAAAGAAAGAATATGGCCATGTCCTTTGGGACATCTGTTAAAATTGGAATGATACAAAGAAGACTAGCATGGCCGCTGGGCAAGGATGACAAGCATAAATCAAGAAATGGTCCAATTTTTTATTTAAAAAAGGGCGAATACGGCCAAATCAATGGCTCACCTGCACTGATCCCATGCTGCATACTTTTCGCTTGAAAACGTCTCTTTTCTTCCTCCTGCTCTAACACTGTCATCCCCCCGAAGACAATGGATCAGAAAACAGGATGTGCAATAAATTTGTGAGTACAGCACAGGGGAACTTAAACCACCCCTGTAATTGAAATCATTTCACAACAACCTCCAGGATTCTGCAATGCTGCGCATTCTTCATGCAGGCTTGTAGGGGTTTATTTTTAGTAACCTGTGCCACTTTGCGTTCTATGAAAGAAAAAACAGAAAACAAATTTGAAAACCTAAAAACATGGTTGCATCCCTGCCGACCGCCGACCGTATTGCAGCCGACCAGTAGGCCGACCGGTCGGCGGTCTGCCGACCAGTCAGAAAACAACCATCCACTAATTTTTTATCAGATCTGAGTTGGAATCTGTACTGCGCTTGCTGAGTACAGCCCAAATCCGCTGAGAAACTTTTGGGGATGCGGGGGTTGGGACTGGGGTGTATAGGGGGAT